CCTAAGACTCATACTATTGCTTCATGTCATTTCAGTAACCTGTTCTGGAAGCTCTGTTGGAATGGGTAAGAGCACTTAGTACATTCATTCCAAATCCATAGTGCTTATAAAACATGTTAGCATCATATAACCTTAAACTCCAAATCATGTATGAATAGTATATACTTGATAGCCAAGGCTTGTGTTAGTGCTACGCAGTTTCCACTCCCCGCATCTTACAACGTATCATTAAAAAATCGTTACCTATATTGTGGCCTGTACACTATCACGCCATTCTAAAGTGTTGCATGGTATTTAATATTTATCTAGTTGCACATAATAAAAAAAAGTTTGTCTTTTTTTTATAGCCATATCCCATTACAAATTAAATGATGTTGCGCTTCTATTAAAATAAATAATAAAACACGTGGAGCTTACCTCAACCTATTCTACCTTATTTCTCCTGGGGTTTCAAGTGCAGTCTTCTGCGTCACTTCCCCGTTTAAACTGCTAGAAGCAGCAACTATTAAAACAAACATTTCTCAAGAGTTGTTTTTCCTTAGCTGAAACTATCTTAATTTCCTCAACTCTGTTACAGTGATTTATAGAGGAAAGAGGAACGCAGAACAACATCTCTAAAAGGAAATTCTGTTTCAGATAAGGAGGTAAGTTGGGAGTCATGACTCAGATTATGATTTACTAATCAAACTTTTCCTGCTGCTATAGATCTCTGGAATTGGAAGGCTAAGCTTCATTGATCTTATTTAATATAACTGATTTGTTAAAATCCATCATGTTTATCTCAGAAATCTAGTGTTCTCTACTCCTACCCACTATCAATACTAGATTTGTATATTGGTTTGTTCTCTCTTCCACTGACACCACTAAAACCTATATTTCACTTAAGTCATTCCTAATACTATCCTGTAGTCCTTCTAAACCCAAACCCTTGTAGAGCCCTCTACACCCAAACAGATGAAGATACTCGCTCACCAGCACTCATTTATTTTCTCTTTTTGCCATCTTAAATTAGTCATTCTTCCACAGAAGTACTGATGTTCTGGACTATTTGCTTCTTTTGACTCAAAAGAAGCATGGCAAGAAGTCACTCTGTAATAGTTTGTGCTGACCTTTTTTCCCCCCCAAGGTTGATCAGCTTCCCCTTGCTGTTCTCCCAGAACTATCTTGGGTGTTGAAGATGTTGGTAACACCATTCTCCAAGTGCCCTTCTCCATCTTGCTTTCTCTGGAACTGGAAAGATGACATCTGTGCTTAACTGCAAGAGTCATACCTGCTTGAGGACTGGGAAGAAGGAAGCTAAACCGCTAGCCATATCTGTTATCTAAACAAGGACATCAGATTTGATCAGCCTCAACTCTTTAAATCATTTAAAAAAATGGAAATTAACATTTATGTGATACATACATGCACAGAGATCTAAGTAACCTTGAACTGTAATTTCCCTGTAATGCAATCAATTTTAGAAGCTGTTCCAAGACAGTTACTAGTCAATAGGTATGTTTTAGACCTAATGCATTAATGAAAAAGACTGCAATAAAGATTAAAGAATAAAATTTAACTCCTTTTTAAAAGAATTAGGAGAAGCAGTTTAGCTGCACTCAGAAGTAGTTTGAGGCCTCATCAAATATTCTTAGGCTATTTAATGTTAATTTAAAACACAATCATCAGTTGATTAAAATCACTGATATTTAATCAGAGGTGCCTTCATTAAAGTTTACTTAATAGAAAACAGTTTAAGTCAATCATTTTAAAGATGAACAGTAATTATGCAGATAAACAGTTGTTTAAAAAAAAAAAAAGCTCTCTGTTCCAAAAACAAATTATTTGACACACAACTAGCAGCTCAAAACTTAAATAGGTTGTTTTCAGTCTACTAAAGAAACTGGCAAAATCCCTCTGCACGTCAACTGGATTGGAATTTGACTCAAAATCATTAAGGTTGTTTTTAGAAGTGGTTTCCCCCACCCAAATACTGTTGCTATTAAAAATAAAAAAGAGGGCGGAGGGCAAGGAGAGAGAGAGACAGAGAGACAGAGACAGACAGAGACAGAGAGAGAGAGACAGACAGAGACAGAGAGAGAGAGACAGAGAGAGACAGAGAGAGACAGACAGAGAGAGAGAGAGAGACAGACAGAGAGAGAGAGAGAGACAGACAGAGAGAGAGAGAGAGACAGACAGAGAGAGAGAGAGAGACAGACAGAGAGAGAGAGAGAGACAGACAGAGAGAGAGAGAGAGACAGACAGAGAGAGAGAGAGAGACAGACAGAGAGAGAGAGAGAGACAGACAGAGAGAGAGAGAGAGACAGACAGAGAGAGAGAGAGAGACAGACAGAGAGAGAGAGAGAGACAGACAGAGAGAGAGAGAGAGACAGACAGAGAGAGAGAGAGAGACAGACAGAGAGAGAGAGAGAGACAGACAGAGAGGAGAGACAGAGAGAGAGAGACAGAGAGAGAGAGACAGAGAGAGACTGTAGATCCTCAAGAGTGGCATTTAAATACTGTCTTAACTTGCTTAATAATTGGTGGATCTGGAAAAGCCCTTTCACTTGGGTGGATGTCTCCCATATATAAAGTTACCCACACTTCACAGAAGTCCAGAAAGGGCTCAAGCATCTACAAAAAACAGTAGAAGCTGCTTAATTCTTTTAGGTTCCCCTTAAGAGCTCCTGACTACTTGTATACTGTCCTTGACTGAGTACAGAAACATTCAGCTATAAATAGTAAAAGCATGAGCTCAGTAGTATTTCTTCATCAGCATATAAAAAAAAGTATTAAAAAATGGGATATGCGTGAGGTACTAAATACTTTCCATATAGTGAATTCCCACAGTGAATGGCCCTGCCATTCAACTTACCTTTTTCAATACAGGTAGACAACAAGAACATTACTCCTAACAAGTTCAGAAGTCAGATACACATAAGTCTTTATGAATTTACACTAATTACCTGCATAGTTATGTGGCAGTAGGCACATGTGAATCTCTGGGGCCACAAATCCTGGATCCTTCCCTAAAATAAAAGAATGCCACAGTTTGCTCCTACTTCATATTTGAAATGCTGTACAATTAATTAGTTAGTATCTTTAGGGGAAAAAAAGTAAAAGCAGAGAGGAGGTACATTTCTTAAATTAGTATCAAATTCTTAAATTAGTAGTCCAGATAGTACTTATCTTTGGAGCCACAGAAAATTTCAAAGCCAAATTAGGCTTCAAGAACGCCTATCCAGCTAAGTAAACGCAGGCACACACACTACAGACACATGGCATGCGGTGGGAAGCTCAGGTTCATAATGTTCAGTCTGTTGCACTTTGATCCTCAGAACTTGAAGAGGGACAGAACAGAAGCTCCGTAGCCATACCTCCTGGGAAAATTGTTACAATATCTCTGATCAAAATTGGCAGAAATTTCCTTCTAAGGATCAAGAGCCAAATGCCCACTGTGAATGGACTGCTAACAACTGCATCAGACCAGTAAGCACTGGAGACCCCGTTGTTCCTTCTGGTTTTAAGGAAGATCATATAAACGTAAAGGGCATCAGACAAAAAAATGCATTCAAGAGTTCCTGGATCCACATCCAAGAGCTGTAAGATATTAAATCCCAGCAATGACTTAAACCTTAAGACAGGAGTCTTGGCTTAAATGGCTTTTATGGGCTAATGTAACTTCTATGTCACTCATGAACATTGTACTACTACATTGGATCCATGCAATGTACTTGAGCCAACAATCAGCTCCACAAATCAGAAAGGACAACTTATTGAAGAATAAGAGCAAAGTCCTCAAACTCTTGCCCTTGTAAGAAATACTGACATGGCCTGAATGGTATTTGCACAAGCTGTATTAAATGTTCACTACCCGTATTGTAATAAGGCGGTTCTTTCCACTTTAAGGTCAAAGATCACCTTTCTGAGATCTTTGGATTTTGCCTGTAAATAAACCATTCCTTCAACATAGTTCCCAACATTGGCAGGGCAGAAGGAACATGAAGAATCAGAAGGAAATCACTCTTACTTTCCCAACTGAACCTTACAGCCTCTTGCCTGATGAGGTCTGTACAGACTTTCTGCCTGAGGATGTGCTTATTCCAAAAACTTACAGGTTCAAGGTCAAAAGCTAATAAAAATCAAAAAAAGCCTTCTAGTGACAGACAAGGTGTTCTGTTTTAAAAAAAGTTAACGTCATGGTTTTGAAAGAATCCTTGTAATCCTCTGGGAAATTGCAAAGGCAGTTCAGTTCCAGTCATCATCCAGTCAGGCTATTTCTAAGCGACCATTACAGCTTTTTTCCTCCCATACCAAATAGGAGGTCAACAGTTTGGGTTTTGCATGGCAATGGAGAGAACTCTTCCAAGTTTAAAGTTTTGTTTCAAGCTCAAATTTACAATGCAATTTATATAACAACATTTAGTTGAATGATACCCGAGGACCTCAGTACTAACATATTTCTGATACTGGGGATCATGATGACAGAGGAAGGGAAAGTAAGAGAGAGGAGGAAGAAAAAAATTGAGTTTTTTTTTTCCTTCTTTAGGTATTACGGAACAAAGTATATTGTAATATATTGTTAGAAATTTGAAACACCATTTGTTCTTTTTTCTTCCTGGAGGATCAGTGACAACTTAAGAGCTGTTTTACTACAGTACTCCTTCTTCAGATTTATGATATATATTAAGAAAGTGAATACTGGGAGAGGACAGTGGTTTAAAAAAAATCTAGCATTTAAATATCATACCTAGATGACCTGCAGCACACAGAAGCAAAAAGGCAAAACATCGATTTATTTCCATCTTCAGGCCTCTTCGTGACCATGAATGAGTCATACGTAAGCTCTTCATATTTTCTGGGCTATTCCATTTCTCTGTCAGTTATATCTTCTTTATATGGTATGTATTACACAAAAGTCCTGATTTATATAAACCATCATTCCATTTTGAAACAAAACACGGAGGAACCCAAACACTCTTCAACTGGCAATGAACATGCAGGGAAAAGCTGACACTCAATGCAAAGGAATTAATTGAGAGTTTATTCCACGTGGTTCTCCTCACTTAGTATACAAGTCATCAGAATAATCTATCAAATAGAGTTGGACTTTAATGATATGATTTTTGTATAATGCATTTTGGTTTTTGCTTCTAACAACCTGTTAAAAAAAATTCTGCCAGAGATGAAATGTTCAGCACAAACTGCAATCCTTACTATTTGTAGAAAATATGACTTAAAAAAGGACACTATCAGGTAATTCTTATTTTAAATGTTTACACTTATAAAAATGCTTTGGAAGCTTGAAACTGAAAATTTTTGTAACGATTTTCTTCTTCCTACCTCCCTCCTCTGATCTTAAATGCCTTTATTAGCCCAGGATTATCATAAATGACAGTGTAGCTGCTGATTAAAAATATTAAAAGACCACAAATGGATAAACTGTGTTTAAAAAAAAAAAAAAAAAGGAAGCTTACATGGATGTTTTCAAATAAAATGCATAGATGGCTACGGTACTCATCCATCAAACTTAACAGTCTCTCCTTGAGGTAGCCTTTCTAAAGGATTACTAAACAAGCCCCAACATAATCTAAATCTTTGCATCAAAACCACTATCTTTGAAAGCCCACTCTCAGTTTAACACCAGTGATGATCCACAAAATAACACATTTTAAAAGGTTTTGAGAACAGCAGGTACAGTGGACACAAACATTAGTTCTAAATCTGCAGCCCTCAATGTACATTGTATGCACATAAATATCTCAGCTATGATACACATTCAAGATCCATCCCTAAAAAAGCCATACTATTATGCAAAGCACAGCCATGCTAACTTCAGGATATAAACCATAATTCCACATCTACAAAACAAAAGTAGAATTAGTGGCAGTTTATTGCCTCATACAAATTTAACCAACATGGCAACCATGCCAACGGAATTAAAACATTTTCAGGACATATGTACAGACTGTACATTTCAGAAACATTTGAACAATAAAAAATGCAAGAACAATCTCTGCATTATGAATTAAACTAAACAAATGGTTTGAAACCGTCAATGCATTGAATGGGTTTACAAAGGCACTTCCCTACCCAAAATAGGAAATGACAATCTGCAGCCTAGAGGGAGGTTGGAGAAGAGTGCTCATCAACTACTGCACAATCTCAACTTTAAGAAAAAATAAGCAGGATTTAATCAAACATTTATAGGATTCAATGTGATCCACTTCTGAAAGAGTTCACACAGTCTCATCTTTGTTTTTATGTTGCTTTTCTTGGCTCTCTTGTTCTGTACTTTGGCTCCTTCGACGATCGTGTTTGTCCGAATGGTCCTTGCTATCGCTGTGATCATGTTTGTGGGAACGTTCTTTGCTTCTACTACGCTTTCTAGATCTTTCTTTGCTGGGACTGTGGTCTCGTTTTCTGGACTTCTCAACACTATCTGTTCTTCCTCTGCTTCTGCTTCTACTTCGTTTATTTGATTTCTCTTTACTTTCATTTTTATGTTTACTTGATTTCTCTTTGCTCCTGCTTCTGCTGTGCTTACCTGTATTCTTACTTCGGCTCCTACTCCTATGCTTTCTTTCCCTGCTTCGACTTCTACTATGTTTTCTCTCTTTTTTGGAATCCCTCTTGTCATCCCGGTGTTTCTTGTCATCCTTGTCATCTTTGTGTCTTCTCTCTTCTACATCACCCTTACTTTTCCTTTCTTTTGACCTTTCTCTAGATCGATCACTATCTTTTTCCCTCTCACTACCTCTTTCCCTGTCATAATCTCTATCTTTTTTCCTGCTTCGTTCATTTTCTTTCTCTCGCTCCCTATCCCTGTCTCTCCGATCTCCTTTCCTGTCACGGCTTCGACTGCGGCTTCTGTGTCTTTCCCTGCTCCTGCTTCGCCTCCGTTCTAGCGCTCGATCAGTACTTCGAGATCTCCGCCTTTCTTTTTCCCTTTCCTTAGCTTCACGTTCTAATCTTTGCCGCTCTCTCTCTCTTTCTAGTTCTCTATCAAAACTAGATGATCCATGGCCTTCCCGATGATGACTTCGGCTTCTAGATCTTCTGGGAGACCTCCTGGGGCTGATGGATCGTCTCGGAGACCTTTCAAAATAAAGGATACTCAAACTGAAACACACTTAAGTAAAATGACCCTATTCATTTTCCAATTTATATTTCACAAATACAGCTTATATTTTATCTTGAATACCAAACATCCTGCAAATATTACAGTATCATCCGATCATTTTAATCATTAGCATCTATAAACTGTTTTGCTTGTTGCTTCAAAACCTATCCCAGTAAAAGGAGGACATGATGTTCCTAAGAATAAATTCAATATTGAACTTTCAACGTTAATTTTCAAAATAATATGTATATAACCTTGAACGTCTACGTTCTACATGCCGATCTATTTCTTCCATTCCCTCTTTGCCATCTTTCTTGATTTTTCTAGGTCTGCTTTTAATTTGCTGGTCAATAGTTTTCTGGACTGGCACAGGAATTCTTGGAAACAACGTTGAAAACCATTCAAGTTTAGTGAGGAAGGAACGAAGCATCTCCCCGATGGTCATAACACAACCCCCACCTGCCTTCACATCCAGGTCCTACAAAATACAAACAAAAAATATCCTGACGGTCAAAAACATTCTTTATTGGTTTTCAAAAATAATGCTGCTATATTACTGCCCTCTTGAAGTCTCATGATTATGAAAGTTTACTTGTCTCATATTCTAATACATTTCCTTAGAAAAATTCAAACTCTACACCCTTTGGATTTGGCAACATACTTTACAGATAGGGAGTGGAACTTAATACATATGCATGCAGGCACATACTAATCCTGCAGCCATCTGGATGGTAAGGGACTGTCAATGAAGAGATTAACGTGAAATCCCCTTACACAGTCTGGTTATATGGTATGATCTTGTACTTTAAATGCCACAAAGTTGAGAAGTCCTCTCAAACTACATTTAATACTTCATTTTGTGGATGTACAACTGCGTATCATCATACCCAACCCTGTGGCCTAAATCATTTAAGAACTACATCATTGCCTATCTAAAAATGATCATAGAAAATTTTGGAGTACAAAATGGCATCCTAACAAAATTGGAAGCAATAGCAAACCAACTGCCATGAAGCAGTGAGGTTTCTAATTTAGAAATATGTAAAAAAATAAATAAATGAACAAATAATTGGAAACGCATAATCCATGATGACCATTGTCTCTGAAAAGGGTCATTACCGCATGAAGGCCTTCTTGCTATGCCCTCTCACAGCTCAGGACATGTTAGTCAGCTATTGTCAGTCCCAAACCTATAGTGCAAGCACACAAGGAAAGTGAGATTTGTTATCTAAACAGGAAGAGAAAATCTAAATGTAAAACTGCTTGCACTCACACACATTTAAGTGTTCAGATATACAGTATTTCCAAATATAATCGCTGCAGAGATCTAAAGAAGAAAAAAATGAGTTAAACGTAGCACCTGGAGAGTATGTACAGTTAAACAAAATAAACATAAAAAGCATTTTGAAAAGTAACTCTGTATCCTGGGAAGCTTTTCCTTTTCACAGCAGCATGACAAAGACGAACTGCTTCCACATATTAAGATTTATGAACCGGAGGGAAAACAACAACTTGTAGGCTTAAAGTGATTCTTACATATATTTGCTTCATCTTACGAGTTTGACTAGGACCATCAAGAAACTGTTATAAAAACAGCCCCAAGCACTTTTTCCTACGTAACAAAAACGCTACTGAAAGTAGCTGGAAAAGACCAACACTAATTCCAAAAATATATGGGAATGTTTTAAACAACAGCAAACATAAATATATGCTCATAACCAATATTAGAGCAAAATCTGAAATGCATAAACCAAAAACTGCGCTGTGAATAATGAAGCAGTTAAGACCTACACACAAATAGCATTCTTAATAACTTTAGCACCCTGTGAATGCAGTTTTTGGGACCCTGAAAAATGAAGCCATCCCAGTCTTCCCCAAAAGTTACAATGCAGCATTTCAGAGAAGAGATAATATACAACAGTACCACCTGGGGGAGAAGGAGGATATCACAGCTATGCAATCAAGACTTAAATGTATGTTTTGATTTTTATTACAAATGTACAATAACACAGGTTTACCTGGAATAACAACTGTCTCCTTTGCACAGTGTTTTTGATACTTAGCATGAAAGCAGCTGTTTAAAATAAATACACTGTATTGTAGTCAGATACAGGTATAATTAACACTTTTTCATACAAGTATTTGGTCATTTGCAACTATGACATTTGGTGTTTCTAGAGCTAGATGTCTAGTTCTACAATGAAGCAGGAAAGTGATCTTTCTTGTTCCATTCTTAAATCTAACACACAGTTTAAAGCTCACTCAATAAATATAAATTGTAACAATATGTAGCAGACTGTATATTCAATTTCATATAGCTAGAAACCTCATCCATATGATCCTACTCCATTTCTCCAGCCAGTAAATCAGGGTTATGGTACAAAAGCATTATCAATGCTTTTGTTAAAGCTTATTTTCCTATCGTACCGCATAAGAACGCTTCTTTATTGAACTTCTAAAGTTAACTGCCACTGCTTTTTATTGCTCCATTAGCAAAGACATTAAGGTTTGTAAAAACAACACTATCTTATGCAGTAATTAAGCTGCTTGTGTTTCCTCAGAAGAAATTCTGTCTTTAGTAATGCCAGTACATGAATAATAACCAGAGATTTTTGGTAATATTTTGAAAGATTAATGTTAGTTTCTACTACATTCTTCCCACTATTCTATGTGAGCACCAATTCCCCCTGCCCCCATAACAAACGTAAGGAGAAATTTAGCACTCTAGGCACACTGAAGATACCTTGTTTAAAAATAACTATTTTTCTAATCTGAAAATGCATAGAAGCCATACTCATACAGCCTGCTGCCTGCATCCTGATTTCATAAACTTGTTTCACATGACCTTGTAACAATTCACAAAATAACATACTAATCAACAGAAAATACTGTTAAATCTCTGAAATCTAAGATCAAGAAACCAGGTCCTAACTCAAATCTGCTTCCTACACTAATCAATGAAATTAGGAAAGAAAAAAAAAAAAACCACTAACATTCAAACCACAACAAAGCTTTTCAGACAACGTTTAAACCTACATAATAGTAACACGAAAAGAAACAAAAGAAAACAAATTATTACCCTCGCCGACATACCTCTTCATCATCAAGAAAGGATTCAAACCAGTCCCATAGGTCTGTAGGTGGTTGTGTGTACCTTGAAATACAAAAAGAACGCAGAATTTTAATACAATTTTCTGTATATTAAACTAGTCATTAGTTGATTATATCGATACTTACCTAATATACATAAATCCAAGTGCCCTAATGTATGGAGAGTCTGTATGAGTTATAAGGCCCATTACTTGCTTACGGGTGAGTTTCAGTGTAAATAATTTGTAGAGCAGACAAAAGGCAGTTGATACAATTCCTCCAGTTCCAACGCCGCGTACCTTTAAACAGAAGAAAAGTTAGATGACAGCACAGAAGTTGCAAAGACCTTATCCCAAATCTACAAGAGAACATAAGAACTAACTCCGCATAATATCTAAAACTACCGACAGAACAAGGGGAAAAAGTATCACTACACAGTAGTCTCCATAGCTTCAGATCCTCTGGAAGCAAGGGGAATATATCAATTCTTTATAATAAATACTTTTTCAGCTAGGGACTGAGACAACAAACAAATTCTAGCTATGCTTGGGGTATTTATTTACCAGACACAGAAAAATTTAAGAAGGCACGTACTTCTACTTACCCCTCCGCACATCCCTGTCTGGCCTGCTGTTTTTCTACTCCCCTTTTCCCATGGTTCAACATGTGTCACCTAAAAAAGGGGTGGGGCGGAGGGGGCAGAATGAGGAAGGAAAGAAGGAACAACAACAAAAAATTGACAATTATAACCTCCATAAAGTTTAACTGCCTAAATAAAACAAATTAAAATGATAGATTTCCTATATCAATCGTATACAGCCTTTTCCTACCAAATCCAAGCACAGGTCTGCTTCATCAACAAAGTAGACCATTTGGCTTTTTTTTTTCCATAACATTAAGAAACAATAACCAAAATCATGGGCAAAGCTTAAAAGAAAACAGCCAAAGCAATTAACTATACTTGTTCTATACTCTAACTCATTTCAAATATTTTACGACTAAAATCTGTTGTTACTTTTTTCAGTGGTGACTATACAATTACCTGCATTATCTATATTGTCTTTTAAATAGTTAAGTGATACTTGCTGATGACAACTACAAAAAGCAGTCTGCAGTTTCATACTCATAAATCTCATTTATGCAGTGAGATTAGCAAGAGAATTAAGTATTATCTAAATTTAGGACAAAAGAAAGACAACTATAAAATGTAGTATTTTAATCTAAAAAGCCAGTGCTTTTTCTTGCAGACTGCAATGATGCTCTGAGATAAAATGGTCTGCGCCCAATTCAAATCTTTCCAGATGCGCTCAGAGATGACTGCAAGCACATAGCTAAACAGTTTCACTCCTTCCATTTGACAATAAGGATCTTACGCAAGTTAAGAACGATAAAACTGCCCAAGCTACCTAAAAGTAGTGAAATCCAGGGAAGTAACATCTATATTAAGGGACAAGTATATTTCTTCTCCAAAAAAGAAAAAAAAGCTTTAAAAATAATTAAAAATAACATAAAAAATGTAACAGTGTTATGCTGGATTAAGGATGAGTAAGAGCTTGTAACCAAACTGCCCTGAAGTTTAGAAAAGAAAATAATTGTGCAGTATATGACACAAAACTAGTTACATACACAAAACTAGTTACATACACAAAACTAGTTACATACACAAAACTAGTTACATACACAATCACGTGAAATCAGAGACCTACTAACATTCGAAGCAGCTAAAATGTTTTTGACTGTTGCTATCTTACCACAATGGGAAGATGGCAGATACCAACACTATGGAATTCAGAATTAAAGTTATGTCCTCCCATACTATTAGCATCACAGGAAAAGTTCAGAAATACTAGGTAAATAATACTGCAAAATACTGTAAATAAAACTGTTCATGCTTTTTCCTCGCACAGGACACGTACTTTTTAGTTACAAGATTAAGCGTGACACTTTATCACCGTGGTGGTCTTTAAATGTGTGGGGTGTTTTACCTACAGTTACATTTATTTGTCACAATCAAAATTAACAAACTGTTTTTGCTAGATTAAAAACAAAAAACAATACTCATTTCAAAAAGCTTATCATTTAAAGTCTTTGATCTTGACTAGACTGTTGCACATGCTTAACTTGTTGGAAGCATTCAGAACAAATGAGGTTAAGCACGTGCACAGGGTTGTAAGATTAGCAACACAGGAAGAGGAAGTCACCCACTTTGCAGATGCGAAACTGAAACAGATAAACATGAGTCCAGATCTCCAAGTGAATGAATTTACATATCTATATAGAATCCAGATTTTCACTGAGGGTCCATATTGGTATCTGCCTGTGTGATTTAAGGTTATTTTTCCTGAGACTCCAGCCCCAGCATCCTGAAATTTTTAAAATAAGCCATATATTTTGGTACCCCCCAAAAAGACACGTTCTTCTGGAAATACAACTGCTGTGGTGGATATTATGCTCATTTATCTATTTATATAGATAATATAGTGGGGGTTTTATATAGATTATATAGAGGGGGTTAAGTGCCTTAACCATCATGTCATCATCTTCTCCCTCACATCTATTACACATGAGTAAGTCAGAGTCTGAGTTCTCTCTTCTAATCGCAGTTTCTAGCCAAAATAACTGACAAATTCACCAAGTAAATTTTATTTACACAGGATTAGTCAAAGTTTTTCCTCCAATTTAAGACATTTACAGAATTAAACACTTTAGACAAGACTATTACAACTATTGTACTGCAGCTCTACCAATAAGGTAAGATAAATCACATCAAGTATTTCTGACTACATCTGAAAGCGTCCATGTAAAACTACTTATTCAAATTTTCTGCAAATATGCTTCTTTAATCAATTTTTCAGCTCTTGATTTCATTGGCAAAAATAAGCCTTTCTTCTGATTACATTCTGATAACCATGGAGAAGAGGGTTGGTCCTACAACTTCTCGAGCATCTGCAGTACTGTTCTCGGAGGCAATTATTTCCACCTCACATGCAACAAGCAGTACATTAAATGAACAGAAGTTCTGGCCACAATTATGTACTGTAAGGATTAGGAGAATTAAGTAGTTCATTCTAAATGACAAAGTGAAAGCAGAGAAGGTAAGAGCTGTGATTTAGAGAAAAAAACAGTATTATTTTGCAAGTAAACTAATACCAAAAATCTCAAAATGCTTCTGTGGAGTTGTTTTTCACAATAATAGTGCACTTTAAGTTACTTAATTTGCCCTGGTTAAATCAGATCAAAAGGTCATTTTTTATTATTTTGAAGTATATTGAAATCTACTCAGTGACAAAACTTCATCAAACAAAATCAACTCACCTCAGAAAACTATCTCCATAACCTCTAACCTGCTGACTGAAGACAGCAGCCCAAATTATCAAAGTTTTGCTCACATTATCAGAACAAAGAATGCAGCTGTGTTGATGAGCATTAATTATGTATACCTCTACCTGGGAGACTGGCTTGATGGAAGCCTCGCTGCAAAACTGATTCAATCCTGCTAGCAAAACAAGAACTGAGACTAATATTTTAAGTTATCTTCCCAACACATCCAACCTAGCGCCAAGAGCAGCACCATAGTGAACTAGTTTTTGATGGAGGAATTCCTTAATCTCTTCCTGAGGAAGAAGACCACATGCAAACTCCTGCTGAAACCACCTACTGTCACCATAACGCCTTTTGCACAATAGCAACACAGACTATTTGCAATTCCAAGGTAGGAAGGGCTGCTTGTCTCCAAAAGTGTGATGCCGATCGGGTCCCCTCCCCACTCTCTCCAGCTAAGGGAACAGCAGTCCTTAGACGGCCATTTCATCCCCACTGCCCTGACTCAGACTGCCCACTTCAGAACTAACTTAAAACTCCGTTAAGTCGTACACAAAACACTTGTCTTTCATCAGAGAAAGAAAACAGCCCCTTAAACTCCCCGGATCAAGTAAGAAAAAAAAAGAATTTCTCTCATCCCTCACCACAGAATAAAGAACTGGGGTCCAGGAACTCAGACAGAGAGAATCTGCAGGCCGCAATGAAAGCCTCCCCTCTT